GCGCCCACCTTTCCCGAATGCGGAATCGCGGGGTGAGGGGGCGCGCACGCACCCAGACTCAGCCCGCAGCCAGGGGGTTGAGCCGTCGGGGCCAGCGCCACGCGGTGCGGAGTCGGCCGTCACCCCCACGCCCAGCATCAGCCGGCGCTCCGGCTGCCCTCGGCTCCCTGCAGTCCCGCTCTGGGCTGTGTCTGGTCCCCTCCCTCTGAGCTCCCTTTTCCTCTGGGGTCAGAGGGGAGGACAGGGCACGGAGCCCCCAGATCTACACTTCCAGAACGGGACAGGGGCGCGTAGCCGCCCAGCTCTCTAGGACACCTCCGGATCGCCTTCCCCTGCACCCCCGGGCCGCCTCCGGGCTCCGCCGGCCCCATTTCGCCGGTTACACCGGGCGGCCTTCCCGGGAAAGGGTGAGGAGGGGTCCGTCCCGCGGCGCGCATGCGTGCCCGGCCGGGCGCTGTGCGCGTGCTCCCGGCGCCCCGCGCTCCCCGCCCGCCGGCCCCCCGTTTGCGGGCAGGTGTCCCCCGAGCGAGCCCACCCTGCGCGGGGCAGCGCGCAGTAGGTGTCCCTGCAGGCTCGCCCTGCCGGTGGGCTGGCGCGCGTCCGGGCGGAGGTCACCCCACTGGCAGGAGGCGGTGCTGGGCGCAGGACACGGCCGCCGCCGACCACAGGCGCAGTAATAACTGCTGTTGAGCGCGCCCTTTCCTGTGCCTGCCCGCGTGAGCTCACTTCACCCTGCCATGAACCCTGCCGGGTGAGCCGGCCGAGAGGTGGGAAGACCCCTGGCAGGAGGACCCGGGCGCTCCACCACAATGGAAAGGGGAAGGCACCAGCCACCAGCCGCCAGCCGGGCTGTCCCGCTCGGCTACAGCCTAATCCTCCGCTTCAGTATTGTTATTCTTTCTCCAGAGAGCTTTGGGAAGCCACTCAGCTGGGGGTCGTTTCCAGGAGAAGCCACTAGCCCTTGTCTAACCTTGAACTCTCGGCTCAGGTGCTGCCAGAGCTGCCGAGTCCTGAAACACCTCCTGCGCTGTGTTCCCAGGCCAGCCGCCTGGCCTCCGGGTAGCGGCTGCCAGCTGGGATGTAGGGACAGCAGCGCCCGTCTCCGGGCGGGGCTGTCAAGTTTCAGGGGGCCGGGAAATGCAGCTGCTGGAGGGGGACCCGTCCCTGGTGGACGTTCTGAGCCTGCAGGCTTGTGGGCAGTTCAAGGGCATCCGACCCTCTGCGGGAGCAGCTAGAGGCTGGCGCCCAGGCCCGAGGCGCGGCCAGCCGGCGGGCGCGCCCCGGCAGGGTCGGCCACCTCTGCAGGATGAGCGTGCTGGGGAGGGGGCGAAGGGCACGCCCCTGGGAGCCGGCGGTGTCCCCCGCTCCGCGCAGCAGCCCAGCCCCGGCCCCGGTGCGGGTGCCTGCGAGCTAGGGATGCGGCCCCGGGGTTGCGGGGCGGCGGGGGCGGCGGCACACACGGCCGCGCCTCGCAGCCGCCCGCCCAAGGCAAGCGATTGGCCTCCAAATCCGCCCTCGTCCGCGGCCAAGACCGGGCAGGTCCGACGCCCGCCAAGCCGCCGAGTTGAAAGGATCCCAAGGAACGAGCCGAGGCCGGCCTCAGCCGCGGGCTGGGAGGACGCGCCGGGGCTTGCTGGCCGGGCCGGCTCCCGGGGCGCGGGAGCCGATCCCCGCGTCCCCGCCGCCCCTCCCCTCGGGCCTCGCTCCTCCGAGTCGCTGTCCGTGGGCAGTGGACCCGGGGGAGGCGCCAGCGGCGTTCCAGGACGCCGGGGCTCCGAGTCCAGTCCCGCGCATTCTGGAGGACGCTCTGGAGCAGGTTCGAGGCCCTTCTTCGCGAGGAACAGGAGACCAGGCTTGAGGAAAGTAGGTGTCCCCGGGGTAGGCGAGTGTCCCCATTTCCGTCAACAAAGACTCCAGGACAACTTATTGGGAGAAGGGGGAGCTAAGAGAATCGCCGACAGTCTCCTTCCTAAAAACGCGGATCTGGGAGTATTTGATTTCCACTTTCACTCCCCCACCCCCGCCCCCACGCACGCCCCGTCTCCGAAGACACTCAAATTGCAGCCATATGGGGCGCAAGGAAGAGGCGGCGGCTACCTTATTCACTGCAGAGGCGGCGCACGCGAAGCCGGCTCCGGCAGGGCAGAGGAGCAGCCGCGGGGTTCTCCGCGCTCTGGAACTTGTGCAGGCTCCGGGCACGGGGTTCTCAGCTCTTCCGGATGGAAGAAAGGCTGCGCCAGAACCCCGCCGCTCGGGGAGCCAGGGTGGAATGAGACAGGCGAGGGGCGCGCCGGGTCCCTGCTAGGTCCCTCCCGAGGCCAGTGCCCCGTCCCCACCTGCCAGCAGGCGCCCTCTCCGCCTGCCCGCCTGAACTTACTCGGGCAGACCCTAGCTGCACGTCCTCTGCAAGTTCATTAACCAGAACCTGCCGGGTCCCACCCCGTGGGGGGTGCAGGCTGCCGGGTTCCTGCCTTCTCACCTTCTACCCCACTACCCCAGACCGCTCAATCTCTCAGCAGGGGTGAGACCCCCCTCAGCGGGGGACTGCAGTGGTGTTCCCCTAAAGCTTTGAGCGCAGGGACTCCCTGGAGAGCCAGGTTTGGGCTGAGCTAGGATTACCCGACACCTCTCGTTTCCTTCCACAGAAGTTCCAGAATGCCCGACGTTGGCAAACTCAGGATTCTCACGGGGGACCCTTTTGCTCAGAGCCTGGCCTCTCCCCAAGGAATCGCCACCAGGCATGAGGACTTGGGGGGCGGGGGAGGTGCAGGACAAGCGCAGGAAAGTGCGGTGAGTGACCGGCACCCTGTTACGGGGTGGGAGCCGCGACGGCAGCACCACGGGCGCCCTGGACGCCTCTGGGGTTTGCAGGCAAGAGAAAGAAAAATAAGAAAGTAGGGAAAGCGGAGGAGGAAGAAAGAGGGGGAAAGGAGAAAGGAGCCCCAGGCCAGGACGGGCCAGTCCACCTCTGCTTGCCTTGGGTCGGGGTGCCCCGCAGCAAACAGGAGACCGCCACTCCCTGCAGGCACAGGGGCGAGCCGCGGGGGAGGTTAGGGGCGTGGGGCGGGGGACAAGCGGCTCCTACCCCGGCCCGCTCCCGCCTCCCAGGTGGCCCAGGGGCGCCCCGAGGGCCGCGCCCCCGGCGGGCAGCCGGTCCGGGAGGGGGGCGGGCGGCGCGCGCCCAGCGACCCGGGCCCTGGGCGGAGGGTGGGCTTTCTCCGGCGGGGAAACCAGACACTGATAGGCGGCGGAGGCCGACTTTATTTTTACTGCCCAAACTGTTGGAAAGTATTTATGCTTAAACAGAAACAGCTGTATCGCTGGCACCGGCCGACGAAACGATTTGTTACCGGGAATGACTTTTTATCGTTCGGGACGCAGCCGTCGGCGGCCTCTCGCGGGCGGCCCGCGCGGGTCGCCGGGGCCTTGCGGGGCGTCGTCGGCGCGCGCTGCCTTCCGACGGAGCGGCTCCCCGGGGCCACGCGGCCACCACGCAACGTGGGCGAGCGAGGCCGAAGACCGAGACCCGCGCTTCCAGGGGCGACGGCGGCCCAGTCCCGCGCCACGCCCGCCGCCCGCGGCGCCCCTAGCTTTGGACTAGAGGCCGGTTTTCCGCTCTGGGCTTCCTGCCCCTTCGAGTCAGACTCCTTGGCGCGCAGTACTTTTCTCTCCTGCCTTTCGCCCACCCCACCCCTGGCTGAGGGAAACCGAAGTGTTTCGTGTGTGTATGTGTGTGTTTTGTTTTGAAAACTAAATCTCGGGCTCCCCGGGAGTGGGCCCTGCAGCACGGAGCCTAGACGGTCGGAGGGGCAGATGGGGGTGGCTGGGCCATCAGAACCCAGAGCTCCGAGGGCTGGTCGGCGTGGAGTCCACGGTCCGGCCCGGCCTTCGCCCCGGCGTGCCCGAGCCCGCCACCTTCACGCAGGAGACCCTCGGCTCTGTCCGCCCTGGAGCCGGCGGCGCCCCCTCCCCGCCGCGAGCACTTCCTGCCCCGCCGTTTCTCGCAGGGCGTCCACCCAGCGCGCCTGGACGAGCCGCGGACAGGAAGTGCGTGGGGGTCGGGGGAAGCCGGACGCGCTCCCGGGCCGCTCGTCCCATCCCCACGCTGCGCCCCAGGCTGTGCCCGTCTTGGTCTTCCTCGCCCTTCACACCGCCAGGTCGGGGGATGCGGTGTGTACCAGGGCCCCGGAGGCAGGTGCGGGCGCCGGGGCAGGGGGCAGCAGGAAGGTGCGCGACGTCGCCCCGCGGGGGCTCCGGGGCTCGGCATCCACCGGGTCTGCGTGTGGCGTCCGGGCTGTGCGCACCCGGAGAGTGGCCGAGACGCAGGCACATCGATTTGTTAGCGGGGGCCGGGCCGGCGACGGCGTTGCCATGGAGACCGAGGGTCGGTCGGTGCGCGGCCGGGAGCCGGCCGCCGAGGGGCGCGGGGCGTCGGGGGCCCCCCAGCACCTGTGCATTGTGCACTGTGCGGCGCCGGGGGTGGGGGCGACAGGGGCGCGCGCGCGCGAGTCCGGGGCCGCGGGGTGGGGCGCGCCGTGATCGGGCGCGCGCGGTGCGGCGCGGGGGCCGCCGGCGAGCGCGCGGGGGGCGGGACGCCCCGGTACCGGGAGGGCCGGCCGGCCGGCGGCGAGGGGGCCCTGGCCGGCACCCGGGGCGCGCGGCCCCCCTCGCCAGCCCCGCTGACTGACGGCGGCCCGGCCCGGCCTCCGCGCCGCGTCACATCCGCCGGCGGCCCCCGCCTCTGCGCGCCGGGTCCCCGGAGCGGCCGCGGGCTCCTCCCCTTGGCGATCGGAACGCGGGTCACGTAGCAACGCGGGGGAGACTGGCCGCGAGGCGTGGCCCGGAGCGCGGCCAATGGGCGCGCCGGGCAGCGGGCCCTGGCCGCTCGGCTCCGGCGACGTCGTTGGAACACGTGGGGCGGGCGCCGCGCGCGGGCGGGGCGGCGGGGCGAGCGCGCGCGGGCGGGGGAGCGGCGCTGACGTCAGCGCGGAGTATTATGGGCTGTCGTGCGCTGGCTGCTGCTTTTCTGCTCCTGGAAGCGGCCGAGGGGGGAAGCGGCGAGTCAACATGGAGCTCTCGGCGGTGGGGGAGCGGGTGTTCGCGGCCGAAGCCCTCCTCAAGCGGCGCATCCGGAAAGTAGGTGTCCGGGGGGCGCTCGGGCCTCGGCGCGGCCGGGCCTCGGCTGCCGGCCCAGCTCCCTTCCCCCAGGTCCCGGCCGTGGCGGCGGCGAGCCCAGGCGCTTCCCCCCGGACTGGCGGCGATGCTTGCATGCGTGGGGGGCGGGGTGCGGGATGCAGGCCGGTGCGTGCACTTTGTGCTGCGGGGATGCCGCGGGAGCGTGCGTTGGGTGCATGCGTTTGCGCGTGGCTTTCTGGTTGTGCTCCCGGTGCACGCCCCCGCCCACCCGCGGTTTTTTGCCTTTTGCGCCTGCAGGGACGCATGGAATACCTGGTGAAGTGGAAGGGCTGGTCGCAGAAGTAAGTGGCCCCGTGCAGTCCGCACCCCCGGCGCTCGCTGGGGGGGTCCTTTCTTCCTCTTTGCCCCTGCACGCTGAGACAGCACAATGCCCCCCTAGAAAAAGTTGCACGGCCCTTTGCCCGCTCCAGGCAGTGACGCCCTGTCCTTCCCCTCGGCCTCCAGGTACAGCACATGGGAGCCCGAGGAGAACATCTTGGATGCGCGCCTGCTGGCGGCCTTCGAGGAGAGGTACGGCGGTGCAGACCCGCGGGAGGTAGGGCTGAGCCCCACCTGTGCCCAGTACTCACTCCCTCCCCGTTGTCCCTGCCTCCTTCCTGCAGGGAGCGTGAGATGGAGCTCTATGGCCCTAGAAAGCGAGGACCCAAACCCAAAACCTTCCTTCTCAAGGTAGGGTGGTGGTAGCAGGACGCTGGGCAGACAGCAGGGGCCAGGGGGGTCACCAGCTGCCAGTCTGTCTGTGAGTCACCCCGGAGGGACACTGCCAGGTGCGCGTGGGGGGCCGCTGGGCCACACCGCAGGTATTGTCATGTCCTTAGCACCCCAGCCGGTGGCCTTGCTCGCCATGCTGCCGAGTGTTCCTGGCCCAGGAGACACAACCTAGCTCCGGTGCCCACACCAGCATCTCTCCCACAGGCCCAGGCCAAGGCCAAGGCCAAGACTTACGAGTTCAGAAGCGATTCAGCCAGGGGTATCCGGATCCCCTACCCCGGCCGCTCACCCCAGGACCTGGCCTCCACCTCTCGGGCACGCGAAGGCCTTCGGAACATGGGGCTGTGTCCTGCGGGCAGCAGCAGCAGCACCTGCCGGGCGGAGCCCCCTCGGGACCGCGAGCGGGAACGCGAGCGGGAGAGAGAGCGGGGCGCCAGCCGCATGGACGACAAGGCCAGCTCTCCGGGGGACAGCTCCAAGAAGCGAGGGCCCAAGCCCCGGAAGGAGCTCCTGGACCCCTCCCAGAGGCCTTTGGGAGAATCCAGCGACACCCTGGGAGACTACCTGGACGGCCAGAAGCTGGACGATGGCCCCCCGGGGGCGGGGAACTTCCCTGCGGGCCACAGCGTGATCCAGCTGGCCCGGAGGCAGGACTCCGACCTTGTGCCCTGCGGGGTGAGCAGCCCCAGCCTGGCCGAGGGCACAGGCAAGCTGGCCGTGGACAACTTCCCTGCCAGGGTCATCAAGCACAGGGCTGCCTTTCTGGAGACCAAAGGCCCGGCTGCCCTGGACTCCAGCAACCCCAGGGTGCGGCATAGCTCGGGCACCCCTGGCTCCGTCGGGGGTCTGTATCGGGACATGGGGGCGCAGGGAGGAAGGCCCTCCCTCATTGCCAGGATCCCCGTGGCCAGAATCCTGGGAGACCCAGAGGAGGAGTCCTGGAGCCCCCCGCTGACCAACCTGGAGCAGGTGGTCGTCACCGATGTGACCTCAAACTTTCTGACCGTCACCATTAAGGAAAGTAACACAGACCAAGGCTTCTTTAAGGAGAAACGGTGAAGGCGCCAGGGAGGTTGACGCCAGGACGAGAGGGCAGGGAGGGAGTGCAGCCTGGGCCTAGAGCCCCCCTGGGATGGCCCTTCTGGCCCTGCCCCCAGCCCCGCCCCCTCCCTCCTCCGCACCGGTTTTTGTTGAAAAGATCTCTAGAGCTATGTTTTCTATTAGATGTAAATATGTTATTTAAGAAAAAATATCTAAATATATATATTTCAACTCTTGAAGTTGTTTTATTTAAATGGAGAGAGAGAGACAGTGTGGTGTCATGGGGTAGAGGACCTGAGCGAGGGGCAGGAGCGGACCCCGCCTGCAGGGGTTCCCTCAGTTCCTGAGGGGTCTCCGCCCCACGCACCTCACCCCCCAGCCTTCGCCCCAAGCCCAGTGCCAGACTTTGAGCACCAGGCAGGTCCCGGCTCTCTCCCCATTGGCCAGCCAGGCCAACACAAGGCTGGCTCCCGATCAGGAAAAAAGGGGGTGGGGTCAGCCCGGTTTTTCTTTTTTTTTTTTTTTTCAATACTAAGTCTGTTGAGGGGGGTATCAACTTGCAGAACTTTTTCGTGTGTGACGTTGGAGTTTAAAAGTAGCGGCCAGTGGAGTGCAGGCAGCCTCGTCCCGGAAGCACGCCGGGAAATGCACTTTACGGGAAGGCAGAGCGCGCGGACAGACCCAGTGGCTGTGCGGACACCATCTCCCGTCTGCAGAGACGCGAAACCCAGCGAACGTGTTTACATTCCCCAGATGCCAGGATAAATTGGGAGGATGGCGGCGCTTCCGTGCCCAGAGCAAGTGGTCGGGTGGACGTCTCCCTTTGGCGTCCTCTGGCCTCGCCAGGAGCAGCCGGCGGCCCCCACGTCGCGGAAGAGTCGGCCAAGCCTGCCCCCTTCGGGCAGGGCGGCGGCCAGCTCTGGACACGAGGCCAGACAGCCCCACTGTGCGGGCTGCGCGCGCGGGGACAGAGGGCCCGGCTGGCGGCTTGGGCAGCCAGCTTGGGGGTGCGCGCAAGGCCCTGCGCGGGGCTTGGGTAGGCCTCCCCGCCCCGCGTCCCGGTGGGCTGATGGAGAAGGCGGCCGAGGCGCGCTTTTCCTCCAGGAATGCGCATCAGAACTTTGGCTTTTTCTTTCTCCCCCTCCTTAAAAGCAAAAGCTATAATTTATAGGCCTTTTCGATTCGCGGAGTGTTCTCTATTTGAACTCGACATTCAAATTCCGCCAAGGCAGGGGTGGGGGCGGGGAGGAGCTCCACCGGGGGCGGAGACAGCGGCGGCTGGGGAGGCCGGGCGCGCGGGAATCGCGCGACAGCCCCCGCCCGGGCAGGCTCCCGGTGCCGCGCCACTCGCCACTCTGGCTCAGAAGCACAAATCTGCACCCACACCCACCCCAGCCCAGCCCCGGGGAGCACCTTCGGCTCTTCCCCGCCTTTAAAGGGCCAGCGGGATCTCGCCTCCCGGGGTCCTCGGGGGAGGGGCGCGCCGCTGCGCTCCTCACCCAGCACAGACCCAGCACAGACTGCGTGGGAGCAGGGCGCAGGGGAGGGCCACCCCAGTCTCTGTCCTGCGCCCCACACCTCCGCCTGCCCGGCCGTGTCTCTTCCCAGACTTTCCTGTCCTCGCCGTCCTGGGACTTTGGGGGCTTGGTTTGACGTCCAGAGCGAGGGAGCCCCCCCGCTTTGTCAGCCCGGTGTCTTAGACTCTGTACAAAGCAGCGCCGTGGGCCGCCGAGTCTGTCTCGTTTTTTGTCGAAGCTATTTCCAGACGAAACTTGGCGGGAGGGAGAGGTCGGGCGATGGCAGGGGTGCGCGTCTCCGCCGGCCACCGCCTTCCCTTCCCCCGGGCTGAGCCCTCGGCGGCCCTGCCTCCACCCTTCCCGCGTCGTCGGTCCAGTGCGTGTGTGTGTCCTTGTCGCGACGCTGACCTGGGGGGTGGGTGGGCGGGGGCCGCGTGGCTGGGGAGGGGGTCTGTCTGCGGCCGCGCGCGTGGGGTTTGTGGAACTGTGAGATGTGAACCGATCCCGGGCTGATCCCGCCTCGGCCCGGGAGAGGAGCTGCGGTCTCTTGTCTCGGGCGGTGGGGAACGTCTGTACCCAGTGCGGCTTTCTCTGTGTTCCAATATACACTTTGTAAATACTCTAGAGGCTCGGCTGGCTTTTTTTCCCCCTCTCCCAGTCACCCTCTTCCCACCCCTGGCAAAGGGAAACGGGGCCCAGGAGGAGAGAGGGGTTCCCTCCCGTCGCTGGATCGCTAGCCCCAGCCCCCACCCTTACTCCTTCCCGCCCAGGGTACCCATACCCACCCAGAGATGGGCACGGAAGGGGCGGGGCACCACATCCCGGGGCCGTGGTGATTTTCTTCAGGCACTTTCTGAGCAGAAGTCGGGGACCCTACGGGGTTCCCCACACGGCCAACCCTGCACACACCCCCCTCCTGGCCGTGCTCCATGTCCCATCCGTGGTGGTCCACGGCCTCTCCTTGCACCGTGAGGCGACCCGCCCCCCAGACTCTCCCCAACCACCGCCCCAGCCTCGCCAGCGCTCCCCCAAATGCGAGCTTCGCGCCTATTGATTGAGGGATTGAATTCGCGGGCATTGCTAGGCAACTGCCAGCTCGGAGCCGGCGCACGGCGGCTGATGTGATTAGTGAACCCGCAGCCGCCGCGCCTTCGACGGGCGCCGCAACCCCAAGGCCGGCCGAGGGGAGCGCAGGACGCAGGCCCGCGGCAGAGGAGCGGGGTCGGAGGCCCGCGGGAGCGCCGAGCCCCCCACCGAAAGGCCAGCGTGTTGAGCCGGTTCCCCCTCCGCAGTTGCCCATCCGCTCCACCAAACTGCGCCCTAGGGTACCTCGGCCGCCGGGAGTCCCTGGGCACCCCGCCTCGGGCGGAGCGCCCCGACTTTTCTCCCCAGGGGTTCTCTGACCCTAGGGCGAGGACCCACGTCTGGGCTCCGGGGTCGCGGGGTGCTGAGGGCCCTGAAGACAGGACTGGTGACCGCGTAGGGCTGCAAGTTCCCAGAGCTACAAGACCTGTCGTCCTGCCGTCCCGCAGGGTGCTGGGTGCGGTAACTCTGCGGGGCTGACGGTGGGTAGGGTCGTCCTGGGGTCGGAAGGGGGGCCGCGGCACTACCGGGGCAGCCAAGGCGCTCATCCCGCTGCGTTTCCTGCCTGGGCAGACCTTGTCACCGCCCTTGGCCTAGATAGACCTGGAGCCTCTCGTTGGCCTTCCCACCCTGAGCACATGCCAGCCGCGTGCAGCTGCACGGAGCCTCTCCCGCAGCCTCTCCCGCACCGACAGGGGCTGAACTGGAGAATTTGCAGTTCTCGGTAGGGCATGGGCCGGGCCGTTTTCCATTCTCAGTGTCCCTCCTTGGTCACCTACCTGGCCGAGGCCCAGCACGGTACCCTGTCCCCATTCGTTCTCGGGTTTCAATAGTCCGTCTCCAAGGGCCTGCAGACCACACCGGTGGAGTCCTGGAAGAGGGCAACTCACGGTGCCCAGCCTGGCTCCAGCTGTCCAGGGTGGAGGGCAGCGAAGGCGGCTGTGGGGGGTCGGGACCACCATGGCGCAGGTCGTGCTGCCTATGTGGAATTTCCACCCCTCCCCCCGCCCCGCAGGTGCCAAGGCCCAAACTTTGGGTGGCGTGCGCCCTCTTGAGGAGGCGGCTTCAGCCTCTCCCCCTCCCGTGGAGGCCCCTGCACCCAGGACGCTGGGCATCCCACTGTGGGTGCCCCCTCTGCTCCTGGCCCGAGCGTGAGGGGAGGAGAGGCGGCAGTGTTCAGCTCCGGGTCTGCCCGGGCTGGTGCCCACTTCCCCAACGTGGGCAGGCATGGGCAGGGGGGAGCTGCTCCTGCCCGAGGGACTGATGGCCGCCCTTGCCCACCTGGCCCAGAGCCTGCAGCGTGAGGAAGGGACTTGGGCTCCGCAGACCCTTCGGGTGCCGCTGGGGCTGGGGGCTGGCTTTTGCCTTCTAGTGGGAGGGTCCTCCTCAAAGGAAGCCAGACTCTCCCTGGGGGCTGAGTGATGGAGCCATCCCGCAGAGGGGCAGGCCCACCTGGGGCTGGGGTCTGCCAGGAACAAGCGACTCCCTTGGCCGAGGGTCGCAGAAGCATCGTAGCCACTCCCCCGGAATTCCCTAGCTGCATCCTTTCAAAGTGTTACCACATGTGGCTCAAGAGGGGGTAGCTTGCCAACACAGTATCTGCCGGCTGTGGGGGCGGGGCGGGCCTTGGGTTTGCTGAGAGGGACTAGGAGTTGCCTGGCCCCGAATTCTGGACCTGTACACCCCAGGCAGCCCTCCTCCCAAACTCAGTGTTACTGACAGCCCCCTTTGTCCCATGCCTTGTAGGATGGCCACAACTACCCAGAGGCACCAGGGCACCCCAGCTCTGGCGCCTGGATCACAATCATCCCGTGGGGCAGGAGCTGCCAGCCTACGCAGCCCTTCCCCTGGCCTAGGACAACGTGGCAAAGCCTGAGCAGGGTCCTTCAGCTCAGGGCCCAGCTGGACCACTGGCCTCCAGGGAGGGGCTGTGAGGCCTCTTGTGTCCCCCCCCCCCCCCATCACACAAAATACACCAAGGTAGCAAGTTAAAAAAAATATTTATTGATATACTAGGAGTTAACAAGATGTGGGTGTGTGACACTGGGCAGATGTCTTCCTTCAGCAAAATAAATTAACATCATTCTAGAAAAGACCCTGCCCCTATACTAGTGTTAGCTTTCCAAAATCCTAGAGAAGCTCCAGACTGGGAGGCACGGCCGCTCCCGTAGGCACAGCTGCTCCCGTAGGCACTGCCCCTCCCGTAGGCACTGCCTCCCCCAGCGCAGGGTTTCCTTGAACTGGCTGCTGGTGATAAGCGTGGGGGCAGGGCTGCGCCTCAAGGCTCCCCAGGCAAGGCGGCGGGCAGCCACCACTGACAATGACTTTCCAGCGTTGCAGGGATGATTTGGCTTAAAAAAATAATAATAAATCCAAGCCAGTGAGGTGGGGGTGGCTCAGGCTGGCCCAGGGCCTTCAGCAATCACACTGGGACTGCAACCCAAATGAGCTACGTTTTTTTGTGGGTTTCTTTTTTGGTACCAAAAATATATATAAAAATATTCCAAACCCTTTAAAAAACTGGACAGACGAGCCCCTTCTTCCTCCGTGACACAGAAGCAGACACAAGACAGGGTCATAATGCCACTGAACACACACAAGACCCCAGGACAGAGGACTGATGGCACGGGCAACGG